CGGAGAACCCGGCGGTCACTTCACTCTAAAAATCCACATGCCACTGACGATGTTCGCCCCAAGCGGGGGAACCTCGTCAACGTAGGTGCCTGTGGACTTCCAGGAAGCCATCTCTGCGCCCATAGCTGCCTGCCACTGAGAGGAGTAGGGACCCTCTATCGCCTCCGCGTAAGAGCGCGGAGTCGGGATGTCAAGTGCATCCGGGTCTCCCTCAGGGGTAAGCAGTACGGACACGGGATGAGGTGAAGCAGCAGCCAGACACTGGAACTCCTCCTGCCTGTCCTCAAGGACGTCTGTGCCAAGGGCACACTCACCTCTGACGGACGGAGGAGAGACAGATGTAGACTCAGCAACAAGACTAGCAGCGTAGTCTAGACGACAGCGAGCAGCAAAGTCGACGAGCTCAGCAACTAGGGCAGACGCAACAGTGGACTCGAAGGAAGGGTCAGTGACGACAGTAGCAAGGAGACGCGTGACAGAAGGATTGGCAGCACGAAGAGAGTCCGACTCCGGGTCGGCAAGAGCAGGAAGAGAGGACTCAGGAGGAGAAGGCAAAGGGGCACGCAGAGGAGCAGTGGACGGACGCAGAGACATCCGGTGCGTGCCAGGGACAGGATGAGGACGCTGACGCGAACCACGACGACTAGTGCAAGCAGCACGGACAGGCGACGCAGGGCAAGATGCAGGCTCACGACGCTCAGCAAGACCTCCAGTAGGACCAGTGTAGGGAGAAGGAGCAGGCAGTGGGGAGGCCGGCTGTAACTGTAACTGTGACGGGACAGGCTGTGGACACTCTAAGGGAGGAGGAGGACCAGTAGAAGGCGGGAGACCAAGAACCTGCTGTAGGAGCGGAACAAAGTACGGCCGAGGCTGCGCGGCGACTCCAGACACAGCAGGGACAGCACCAGCACCCCCAGCAGCAGCACCAGCGCCAACAGTACCTCCACCTCCAGTACCTCCAGCAGCACCAGTAGCACCCCTAGTAGAACCGCCTCCAGGACCGACAGTAGAAGCCTCAGCGCCAAGACCCTCAGCAGCTCCAGCTCCAGTCGTACCCGTAGGCCCAGCAGCTCCACGACTCCAAGTACGAGCACCTCCGGGACGCGAGGCACCAGCTTTCTCAGCAGCCGAAGAAACTCCAGCTCCAGCAGCACGCCTCCAGCGCCGGGCAAACCACTCGCGCAGCTCTTGTGGAGAGAGTGGCTCCCGCCGAGACGAAGCACCCGGAGAAACTTCAGGCCCAGCACCGCCAGACGCCACACGAGCAGGCCCAGCTCCCGCAGGCTCCTCACCCCCAGGCTCAGCACCTCCAGACGTGGCACCCCCAGGCTCAGCACCTCCAGATGTAGCACCCCCACGCTCAGCACCCCCAGTCTCAGCACCCCCAGGCTCAGCACCCCCAGTAGTAGCACCCGTAGGCTCAGCACTCGCAGGCGTAGCACCCACACGCTCAGCACCCCCAGAGTCAGCACCTCAAGGCTCAGCACCCTCAGCAGCACCAGAGTCACCAGTAACCTCGACAGGCTCGAGTGCGTCTACCTGGGACACACCTGAAGGGGCAGGACCCTGAGGGGGGAGGGAGTCTACCGGGGGGGGACCTGGCACAAGGAAGAGCGGTGGCGAGGGGAGGGACGGAGTGCGGTAGGGGAAGAGGCGGTAGTAGGGGACCGACTCGTCAAAGGTGACGTCCTGGGAGGACAGAACACGGCGAGAGGTGGGGTGGTAGAACTTCCACCTGGGCGCGTCAGGGGGGAAGCCAAGGAAGACGCAAGGAGCAGCACGAGGGGACAGCTTGTCCGCAGACAAGTCGCGGATAAACGCCCGAGATCCCCAGACACGGAACGAAGACGCATCGCCAATCTTCCCCGTCCACAGCAAAGCTGGGGAGGTCTCCGGCATGGAGACCCTGGGCTGAAGGTTGATCTGATGCGCCGCGTACCGAACCGCAAACGGCCACAGAAAATGGGGGGCAGCCACATGCATCATGGACGTACGGGCGACGTCCATGACCATGCCAATGCGGCGCTCAGTTATCCAATTTTGCTGTGGACAGTCCGGAAGCGTGAAGGTCTGGCGGATGCCTCGTGCACAACAGTAGGCTCGCAGAAGGCCAGAGGAGAACTCTCCGCCTCTATCAGAGTGCAGACGCAGAACAGGAAAGTCCGAGCCGAAGCTCTGCCTGAGCTGGAGACGAGCTGCGTGGATCCAGTCGATCAACACCTAAGTGACATCACCCTTGCTGCGCAAGGGGAAGACTGTGGGGTAACGCGAGTAGTCGTCAACCACAAGCAGGAAGTAACGCTCGTGACCCTGTCCACGGACGCGGGCTGGGCCCCACACGTCCATGTGAAGCGTCTGCAATGGGGCCTCTATCGGAGGAAACTGGGAGGAGTGGGGGGCAGCCCGCTGCCGCCCCTCGACATAGGGGACGCAGGTAGGGCCAGGCCCCGGAGGAAGGAGAGGGAGGGACCGGGGAAGACCAGAGACAAGGACACGGGAAGCCATGCCTCGGAGACGAAGCAGGGAGGGGTGACCAAGGCGGTGGTGCCAGAGGAGAGTCTCGTGAGACAGGAGGCGACACGAGCAGGGGGCAGACTCAGGACTAGAATTGGACGCTGCAGCAAACACCTGACCCAACGCAGCTACCTGACCAGTCGCAGGGACAGGAGGAGACGCAGTGGTCAGTGTGTACAGGCTCGACCCCGGCCGACGAGTAAACGTGGCCAAGTGTCGGCCCGTCGGAGCATCCGTGCAGTGGGTCACCCGCTGGCTCGCAGGAGTGAACTGGTGAACTTCCCCATCCTGTAGGTCAGCACCACTCACCAAGTTCGTAGAGAACGAGGGGAGGTAAAGACCAGACAGGGTGCCAGAGGGAGCCGCCGGACACGGGAGGACAGTGGAGAAGTGAGCAAGGACAGGACCCTAGAGGGGTCTGCCAGAGAGACTGCAACTGGCCGACCAGGCGGCGTGAGTGTGGTGCGGTCTCGAAAGAAGGAGCGAGAAGCCCCCGAGTCAAGGGTGAAGGTGAGGGAGGCCGAAGCCGACGCGGTACCTGAGAGCGCAGACTCACCAGCACCTGAAGAAGCAGACGCACTGGCACCTAGAGCAGCAGCCTCGCTAGCACCTAGAGCAGCAGCCTCACCAGCACCTAGAGCAGCAGTCTCAATGCCCGGGTCGGGCGGGAAACACCGGTAATAGTCACCCTCATCACTAATAGTCACAGCATACATGACAGCAAGAATAGCATCAAAGTCAAAGTCAAAGGTAGCTACTCCCGCCCTAGACAGCTCACCCCAGCGGGGTCTCTCAGTGGCCTCCGAGAACTGGTGACGCCAAGCGTCCGTCAGGCGGCCAAAGCAGCGCTGGGTGGAGTGCACACCCCCACACTGCTCACCCGCGCGGTCGCCGGTGCGGAGGACGTAGGTGCACGGATCAGTACCCCCACCCTGCTGGCGTGTGTGAAAATACTAGTAGCAAGGCTTAGGAGCCATGGCGAGTTGGGTGAAAACGGTTGAGTTCGAGTGAGTTTAGGTGAGTAGGAAGATTGCAACAAAAGAGGGTGTTCACTATAGAGCGAGCAGTACAAATAGGCAATTATGAAGAAAGGTGCACCACCAAACAGAAAGTTATATGACTACAGTAGTCTACACTACAGGCAGTTACAAAACAATATATAGAATTATATATTATTCTGACACGCCCCCATAAGTGCCTGTAGGTAAGAATGTGCAGTCAACGCCCCCATAATGGGGTACACCAGACAGGCCGCAGCGGAAATCATAGCAACGGGCAAGTGCAGTGGCAACCGGTGCAGTGATGGCAGATCCAACTGTACCAACCCCTTTACCAAGGTAGAAATAGTAGCAGGTGTTGGGGCGGCAGGTCGCCTGAGGAGCAGGCTCTGTGGCTGCAACATGCAGCAGGACAGCAGCGGCTTGACGGCAGCACGTGCAGGCCCCAGCAGTAGGTAGCAGAAGCAAAGACAGCAAAAGGCAGGTGGTAGTAGGGGCGGCAGCTGGAGGTGCCACGGCAGCAGCGGGCGACAGCAGCAGATGACCGGTTGACTTCCGACGCCCCCTCACTCCCCCCCCCACAGCGGCACGTGCAGCAGTGAGAGAGAGAGGAGGGGCGGCAGCTTCTTGCTCACACCCGCCACCCCAAAACCTCCCCCCCACACTGCTGCACGCGCAGCAGGGAGAGAGAAGGGACGGCGTGTGGCGGCGTAGCGGTGTGGCGCAGCAGCGAATAGAGCGGCGTCAACCAACCTCGCGCCTCCCCCTCCCCCCCCCCCCACACCTTCGTCCTCAGCGGAAGACACGGCAGCGGGCGTGGTTGGCGTTGGCGAGATCGCGGGTAGGGGGGGGGTGCAACAGGTGCCGCGACGAGCGCCTTAGTACAGCTCGCCGTCGCTTGCGTGGCAGCTGCAGTGGTAGCAGCCGCATGTTCGACGGGAGGGCGGGGCAGGGGGCGCGTTTGGCGACTGAAGCACCTCGGCCGCCACACCCGCCATCTCCCCCCAAAGCGACCGTCGATGCAGACGATCGGGGCCGCGACAAGGCGTGACGAGGTTGCAGGAGGGCGCGACGGGCAGGCGACGGGGCTGCCGTCTGGGGCCGCGACGAACAGCACTAAGCTCGCCACGCTCGACTTCGCAACCTTCACGACGAGCGGCTGAACGGGCACAGCTTGGGCCGCGACGAGCGCCATGGCAGGAGCGATATGCGGTGGGCCCATGGAAAAAAAAATCAGGTCCTAGGATAGGAACCACTCTGATAACATGTGAAAATACTAGTAGCAAGGCTTAGGAGCCATGGCGAGTTGGGTGAAAACGGTTGAGTTCGAGTGAGTTTAGGTGAGTAGGAAGATTGCAACAAAAGAGGGTGTTCACTATAGAGCGAGCAGTACAAATAGGCAAGAATGAAGAAAGGTGCACCACCAAACAGAAAGTTATATGACTACAGTAGTCTACACTACAGGCAGTTACAAAACAATATATAGAATTATATATTATTCTGACAGCGTGCAGCGTACCACTCACAGAGCTGCTGAGGGGGGGGGGATGTCACGAGTGCGCTGCTGCTGCTGTTGCTGCTGGCGCTGACCACCACCGGAGCCGACCCTCTGCGCAGCGCCACCCCGACCAGCTCCACCGCCTCCGCCACCGCCTCCTCCACCGCCGCCACTGCCGCCACCACCTCCGCTCCCACCGCCACCGCCGCCGCCTCCGCCTCCACAGCTGCCACCGACACCTCCACCCCCGCCACCACCCCCACCGCCACCCCCACTCCCTCCGCCGCCTCCACCGCCGCCTCCACCGCCCCCGCCAGCTCCTCCAGCGCCCCTGCCCCCCTTGCCCTTGCCAGGGCGGCATCTCCCCTAGCGGGAGACGCCGCACCGACCGACTCAAGCCCAACGAGGTCGGCCGCCGCAGTAGAGGCAACAGAGGGCAAAAGGGGGGAGGGGGAACACCCCTCAAAGATGGGGGTGCGAGGGTCACCACGAGAGGCTACTACAGCGACTATGCTCTTCTCCGCTGCTAGGAGGGCCTTCTCGAGGAGGTCAACGGTGAGAGTGGTGGGGCAAATTGAGAGGAAGTGGTCCCTGACTACGCGAAGGGAGTCAGGGAGGCGGGTGACTATGTAGTAGAGAGTGATGTACATGGGGGGGGGGGGTTCTCGGCGCAGAACTTAGCAGGAAGCGTAGCGCGGTAGCGAGTGTCACTAGTGCGGAGGTGCGTAATGAGGTCAGCGACTGTGGGAAACGCAGCAAGGTCAGGGAAGAGGTACGGTAGTATGAGGCGGCTCAGTGCAGCAGTGGCAGGGGAGGAGTAGCGTGCAACTACAGCGTCGTACAAGGTCTGAGCACTCTTGTACTGGCTAAAGTGCGCACGCTCGGAGGTAGGCAGGTGGCGACGCACAGCAAGACGTGCAGCAGCATCGCGCGTGGCCCACTGTGAGCGAACAGTGGCGTCAGCATCAGCAGCACGGGCAGGAGAGGCACCCGAGGTGAGGTCAAAGAGAGAGAGACCGTCCGCCCTATTGCACTGTAGGAAAAGCTGCAGATCATCTAGCCAGACGTCAAAGTCAATAGCCCGACCCTCAGCGTCAAAAGCGAGGACACTAGGGGTAGCCATGACTGCAGTAGACTAGCAGCGCGAACAGTAGGGTAGCGGCAGTGCAGTGATAGAGGCGCTGCTCTTACCGGACAGGGCGGCTCGGGCGACTCGGCGGCTCGGCGGCTCAGCAACAACTGCGGCTCGGCAGCTCGGCGGCACAGGCGGCTCGGGAAGGGCAGCGCCGGGGCCGCAGGTAGGTGACGGGGCCAGCAAGGGCTGGGCCGGGGCCGGGAAGGGAGGTGTCGGGGCCGGGAAAGGGCGGCGCCGGGGCCGCAAGGGAGGCGATGGGGCCAGCAGAGGCTGGGCCGGGTCGGGAAGGGCGGCGTCGAGGCCGAGAAAGGGCGGCGCCGGGGCCACGGGGTAGGCGACGGGGCCGCATAGCGGTAGATCGGGGCCGGGAAGGGCGGCGCCGGAGCCGGGAAGGGCAGCCTCGGGGCCGCAAGGCTAGGCGACGGGGCCAGCAGAGGCGGGGCCGGGTCGCGAAGGGCGGCGTCGAGGCCGAGAAGGGCAGCGCCGGGGCCGCAAGGAGGCGACGGGGCCGCAGGTAGGCGACGGGGCCGCAGGTAGGCGACGGGGCCAGCAAGGGCGGGGCCAGGTCGGGAAGGGCGGCACGAGGGCCGCGGGGTAGGCGACGGGGCCGCTAGGGCGGGGGAACGGGGCCGTCAAGGGCGGCGCGACACAGGGAGAAAGGGGGAGCGCGACTCGGGCAAGGGCTGAGCGCGCTCCGGGCAGGAAAAAAATCGAATCGGTAGGCCCTAGAAACAGTTCCCACGAGGGAACCTGCTCGATACCATGAGAAAACTGAAACGAGAAATGAATGAACTATGAAAGAGTTGGGTACAAGTACTAACCCTAATTGGGTTGTACCCCATATGGGCTACCCCAGTACAGCCCACACAAATGCATAAGCCATAATGTACTGACAATGCGAAGGTGCGTAATGAGGTCAGCGACTATGGGAAAAGCGGCGAGGTCAGGGAAGAGGTACGACAGGTTGAGGCGGCTAAGTGCAGCAGTGGCAGGGGAAAAGTAGCGTGCAACTACAGCGTCGTACAAGGTCCTAGCACTCTTGTACTGGCTAAAGTGTGCACGCTCAGAGGTAGGCAAGTGGCGACGCACAGCAAAACGTGCAGCAGCATCGCGTGTGGCCCACTGTGAGCGAACAGTGGCGTCAGCATCAGCAGCAGGGGCAGGAGAGGCACCAGAAGTGAGGTCAAAGAGGGAGAGACCGTCTGCTCTATTGCAATGGAGGTAAAGCTGCGGGTCATCTACCCATAAGTTAAAATCAATGGCCCGACCCTCAGCGTCAAAAGCGAGGACACTGTGGGTAGCCATGATAGCAGTAGACTAGAAGCGCGAGTAGCAGGCTAAGGGCAGCGCAGTAGTAGAGGTGCTGCTCTTACCGGGCAGGCGAGAAGGACCGAGTGTAGCGGACAGGGCGGCTCGGACGGCTCGGCGGCTCAGCGGCTCGGCAGCAACAGCAGCTCGGCGGCTCGGCGACTAGGCAGCTCGGGCGGCTCGGCAGTTCGGGCGGCTCGGCAGTTCGGGCGGCTCGGCGGCTCGGGCGGCGCGGCTGCTGTAGGTACAGTGGCGGCTGCTGCTGCAGGGACGGCGGTGATCGCCGCTGCAGGAGGCGACAACGCCGGCTGCTGCTTCAGGGACGGCGGCGGCGGCCGCTGCTGCAGGGACAGCGGCGGCGGCCGCTGCTGTAGAGACAGCGGCAGCGCCCGCTGCTGTAGGGACGGCGGCGGCCGCTGCTGGAGGCGGCGACGGCGGGTCGCGAAGGGCCGTAGGGGGGGCCGCGTGTGCGGCGCGAGGGGCCGTAAGGGGCCGCGCGAGGGGCCGTAAGGGGCCGGAAGGGCAGCGCGAGGGGCCGACAGGCGGCGCAAGGGGCCGCAAAGGTGACGCACGGTGGGCCGACGGGCGGCGCGAGGGGCCGCAAGGGCGGCGCGCGAAGCCGACGGGCGGCGCGAGGGGCCGCTAGGGCGGCGCGCGGAGTCGACGGGCGGTGCGAGGGGCCGACGGTCGGTGCGAGGGGCCGCAAGGGCGGTGCGCGGGGCCGTAAGGGCGGTGCGCGGGGCCGCAAGGGCGGTGCACGGGGCCGTAAGAGCAGCTCAAGGGGCCGTGAGAGGGGCCGCTAAGGGCGGCGCGACGGTAGGGAGGGCACGCGGGGCGCGACTCGGGCAGGAGCGAAGCGCGCTCCGGGCAGAAAAAAAAATTTTGAGGTGGGCCCTAGAAAGCGTTCCCACTAGGGAACCTGCTCTGAAACCATGAGAAGAAACAAGGAATGAGAATGACTAAGGGAAAGTTGGGTACAAGTACAAACCCTAGAAAGCTGTACCCCATATGTGCTACCCCACTATAGCCTACAGCAGCTAAGTCATATAAATCTGACAACTATAACGCAGCTCTGATACCAGCTTGTTGGTGTAAGGGCCTAATAAACTCAAGCTATTAAGACTTTATCACACTTAAAACCTCTCCAAGGGTCCTTGGGTGCCTGGTAGAAGACCAGCTCCTATCCTCGGGTCCGAGTTTGTAGAGAGAGGGATCAAGAGGGACTTAGTCAAAACAGCAAGAGTACCTTGAACGTCGCGCAGCGTATCGTGCAGACCGTTGATCGGATTAAGCTGAGAATTTACTATATCGAAGCTCACTCTAAGAGCTTTAAAATACGCCAAGTTGCCCCACGAAGAGTTTTGCCATTACGAAGTTATGGGTCAGACAGTGTTAGCCTAGCGTTGGAGTGCTAGCGTACTAGCGTTGACTCGGGTAGCATTCCGCCGTCGCACCGCGTAGAAATGAAATTCCAGGAAGGGAGGAATTCGCTTGAATCAATTTCACTATATTCAGGTACAAACAGAGAAGGAATAAATAGCTCTAGCTAGCAAGGACCTTGGGAATCAACCTGGGAACAACCAGGGATGATCCCAAATAATTCCAAGCAACAGAACCAACCTGGCTGGACAAAATAGCAGGTGGTAGGTTGGTGAACAACCTCTGGTTCTGTTTATCCAACCTGGGAAAACAACAACCAGGTTCAGGTCAAAAAAACAGAACCTGCTTTGTCTTTGCCCAACCAGCCAAATGCTGGTTCCGCTTGTTTCCCCTGGCCCTGTAGCATGCAGATACAGACAAACAACATCCAACCTTCACCTAAATTGTACCCCTATAGTGCCTGCCCTGCTACACTATAGTCAACCAAACAAAACAGTACAATTTCGAGTTGGATAGAACTGAATCTGTGCAATGAAGTAAGCCGAACCACAAAGCTTCCATCTTGGGTTCCTTTGCGAGCTCGTCCTTTCTGCTTGTACTGTTCATAGCGCGTACAATGTTATGCCGAAGCGCACATTCTGCGAGTACCTGCAAATGCTTCAAGCGAAAATTGCGAAAGCAAACAAACACACGAACATACCATTCTCACGCAAATGCATTCGCACACGCATACTCGTACAAACAGACGGCAGGATGTCATGCAATGTGAATTTGCACCCAACACACTCCCCCTCAGCCTGCCGGCTGCATCCCGATCATTCCATACTAGTTCATGCTCATTCCACTCATGCGCACACAACGCCAATGAGGCTCATCCGCAAGCCTCTTGGTGAGGAAGTCTGCTGGCTGCTGGTGAGTCTTGATGCAGATCGGATTCACCGTCCCCCTCTTCACCTCCTTACGCAGCAAGTGCCACTTGATACACATGTACTTATTGAGCCCAGGAAGCACAGCGTTCCTGGCCATCCCAAGAGCTCCCTTGCTATCAGAAAACAGCGGCGTAGCAACCTTTTGCTCCTGGCCAATCTCCTCCAACAGCCTCCTCAGCCAAATCACCTCCTTCATCCCATGAAACATTGCCATGTACTCTGACTCCACAGAAGAGAGTGCTGTCTCCGTCTGCTTCTTTGACCTCCAACTAACCGGTCCTCCCCCAACTACGCAGATGTATCCTCCGACAGATGAGGAATCCTCCTTCTCAGAGGCCCACGTAGCATCGATAAAGCAAGTGAAGAAAAGCTTGCCTTCTCCAAGCCTCTCCCCCTTCTCTTTCAGCACCTCAACCCCTTTCTGCTTCACCTGTGCAGATGCGGAGTATTGAACTCCAATGCTTGGGTGAGAGTTCAGATACTTCACCACACGCTCAGCTGCATCCACCTGCTCCTCTGATGGATTCTGCACCACCCTGGCCAGCTACCCAACCGAGAAAGAGATGTCGGGCCTCGTGTGAACTGCTGCATACAAGAGGCTGCCCACCAAGGACTGAAATTGCTGCTGCTCCTCGGCTTCAACCCCTTCATCCTCTGCAGCTTTCACAAGCTTGAATTCTGCTGGCAGGGGAGTTGCAACCTTGCGCTCATTCTCAAATCCCTACTTCTCCCCAAGCTCCTTGATGAACTTCTCCTGGTGCAGCTTCAACCACCTGTGATCCAGATCCCTCTCCACGTGCATCCCGAGGTAGTACTTTACCTCCCCAAGGTTCTTGCACTTGAAGTTCTCCATCACCTGCTGCTGCACCTTCTAAATCTCCTTCATGCTGCTGCTAAAGAGAAGAATGTCGTCCACATAGACCAGAAACAGCACCAGCTTCTCCCCCTCCCCCTTGAGAAAGAGGCTCTCATCACAGCTGCTGGTCCTGAATCCCATCTCCTCTAAAACAGCTGCCAAATTCTGGTACCAGCAGCGTGGCGCCTGCTTCAAGCCGTAGATGGACTTTTTCAGCTTGCACATCCTGCCCGTACCATCCTCATACCCAGGTGGCTGCGTCATGTAGACATGCTCCTCTAAAATCCCATTAAGGAATGCCGTTGATATCTCCATCTGAATGATGAATTTCCCACTAACGGTTGCATCTGCCAACAAGACACGGAGGGTAGCGGGTTTGGCAGTGGGAGCAAAGATCTCATTGAAGTCCCGCTTCTCCTTCTGCATAAACCCCTTAGCCACCAGCCTACTCTTGTAGATGGTGACCTGTCCCTTGTCATCGGTCTTGATGCTTAGCACCCACTTGCACTGTACGGCTTTCTTCCCCTCAGGCAGCACCACTAGTTCCCAAGTCCCATTCTCCAGCAGGCTCTGGTACTCAGCATCCCTAGAAGCTAGCCATTTGTCCCTATCTGGTCCAGCTAATGCCTCCTCCATGCTAGCTGGTTCCTCTTGTGCAGGGGCAAGAAAACAGTACGCAGGCTCATCCTCCTCATCCGGGTCATAGCCATGCGGTAGAATCAGCAATGCCTCCTCGGTCCCAAGCTGCTGCTCAGCTACATCAGCTCCTGCAGTCAGCTTCTTAGTAGCCATACGGGTACGTCCTAGCCTGGAGACGGGTGTCTCCCATCCCTTCATAACGACACCCTTCGGCTTCTTAGTTTTCCCCTTCTGCTG